ACACCACAATATTCCACTTTACACACAATACTCAATCTCTTTCACTTCCAAATCGATAGTTATCTCCGATGATTGATTGCTACAAAGTTGAGTAATTAGGTTGTAAAGTCTTTGTTATTTCTGTGGTGTTCTTGCTGCTACTGTAGGAACACCAGTGGTGTGCCTTGATTGCTAGTGGAGATGGCAATATAACTTTTAGCACAGACATAACGTAATCTCTAAACTTTGCATGATTTACAAGTTATTGGCAGCACCTCTACACTTTGAGTTGTCTTTCAAATAAGATCCATGAAGCAACCCTTTACATCCATTTGATCCAGTGCTGATGATACAAATGTAGAAGCAGAGCTGCAACCACATTCAACAAGTTCATCATTTGGATTTGAAATTAGACCAATGGATTGAGTAATAATTGCAGATCTTGTTTGAAACTAGCGTAAATTGAGCAATCTAGCTGCTGCATTTTTTTTATGGTGGATTGAAGTTATGGAGTTGAAAATAATAATTGAATAATTGAAATAGGTGTATTCTATTGGTTATTCTGTTATACAACATGACCTGTTAGCACAAATGGTGCTGTGTATAATTAAGTAAAGTGAGCAATCACATATGGTGAAAGCCTGAAATAATAATGGAAAATGTTCCACAAGCAACCTGGACTATTTGGTGTCTGAAAGAACATAGTGTGGAGCTGGAGGAACACAGCAGGCAGCAGCAGAGGAACAGGAAAGTTGACATTTTGGGTCCCTCTCATGTTGCTGTATTCCTCCAGCTCCACACTGTTATCTCTTACTCCAGCATCTGCAGTTCTTACTATCTCTTGGTGTCTGAAATAATAGGATTTGACATTTTGTGAGTCATATTTCATCACACCTGAAATATTTACTATTCTTTCATGTGGTGGTCTATCTTCTACACATTTCCTTTCTCTTTTGTTTTTGTTGGATATAATAATGGACTTGATTAACACTGACAAACACAATGTTTGTTGCAAATGTAGTAAAGAGGATAAAACTGTTTCATTTAACAGAAATGATTTGTCATTAATAGTTGGAACAATGGAGGAGATATGAACGAAGTCTTGCATGCATACAAATCTAAGTTTGAAATTTGTCAGCTACATATGTCGAGTTCACATTTACGTTAGTTCACTTTAATTCACTTGAATCCCATGAATATGACGCAAAATACTATAACTGATGCCTCTTTCTTTGCAAACTTCACACTTTTTAATATTCCTCACTAATGTGGCATACTGTTCATTTCAGGGACCCACTGCCTACATTCTCTTCCAGGTCAGGTGTAGTGCATTGGTTTTCAAAATGAAGTTCCTACTGGTTGAGAACAACATGACTCAACCTCAGTTTGGCAAGAATTTCCTTTCCTGCATCTGTGATTTTTTTTTTGTTGCTATTCTGTGCTATGGACCCATGCCCTCTATAGTTTCTGAATGGAGATCCTCTAACATCATGCCACTGTACAACCAATTTTTAAAGGAAGCTTTCATTCAGTCAGTACAAATATTTTAAATGCAATCACAGTTACAAATGTATTCTGCAAATTACAGTCTCTTGAACGTAGCCCTTATTGATACATCTGTTTTATAGCACAAATATATAAAGTGTGAAAACAGATGCTCACTGAGCTTCTTAAAATCCAATTTATTTAAATCGTGAAAGCAACAAACTGGTCAAGTGTGCCATGGTTCTGATTTATACATTAGTATATATTGAGCAACATACTGCTTGATTCATATGGAGCATTCTCCTTAAGGTTTCTAATGATTAACTGAAGTTTGCCAAAGAGACTTACTTATTACAAAAATATATTTACTGGTGATGGAACATACTCTGTAACATGTAAATCGCAGTGTTGAAAAGTGAACGTGGGTACATGTGCCCTGACTAATCTTGACCAGTTGACAAGTGACCCTTTTTTACTCTGTGCATTTTATGGTGAGATAGACAAGGGGGACAAGAGTAGGTAAGGTCCAATAGAACTTTATTGAACACCTTATCAGACTCTATTATTGTACCTTAATTAAACTCCATCAATCTCTTTACAAGTCTCTTCAGTAAACTGTTTTAAATCTAAGTAAACAGTCTGAAATGTACATTAGCTCCCTACTTCTGACATGAGCTTCTGAAGATTCACTATACCCAATCCACTGGTCCCTACCACTGTATTTGAGCTATTTATCAAAAAAGACTGGTAATACCTGTTCAGTAAGGCCAGGACAGGTTGTCTGTTGGTCCTTGAAGGTTGGCTCAAAGGGTTGAGGGTTAGCTTCAGGATCTGCAGTCATTGATTTAGGCTTCTGCTCTCAACAAGGGCTGGGTCTAGTCTTCAGGTTGTCTCACTGAGATGGTCTCTTTGGAGACGCCATTTGTAGAAGGTGCAAGATGTAGAGGGTGCTGGTTGCCCTTTTGTTTCCCCCCTTCACACCTGTATCCAATACTAGCATTGGGTGGGGCAGAAAAGATCCAATGAGGTGACTACTTTCCATATTTGGAGGTCGCAGACCATGGTTTTGAACCTTCAGCTATCAAGTGCTGTCCTCATCACACTGTGCCTCTGGCCTCCTACTGAGCTTGGTGCTACCAACTCTGCATGGCATTCTTCTAACAGAGCAGGTGCACTGGAAGTGGAAACAACAGTTTAAGAACTGCAGATGCTGAAAATCTGAAACAAAAATAGAAATTGCTGGAGAAACTCAGCAGGTCTGGCAGCATCTATGGAGAGAGCCAACATTTTGGGTCCAGTGACCCTTCTTCAGAGCAGTTCAATCATCCCTTCTTCACAACAGCATAGAACAGCAAACACTGGGCAGTTTCATACTTGCTCAGACAGTGGGTTTCTGAATTGAGACTAACCCTCCCCTTTGGGAGGGAGGAAGGGGAAATTAGTAAGAGAGTTACCAGGCCAAAATATCGGTCAATTGTGAGAGAGAAATACTGTGAAGATCTGGAACCAGGTCCAGCCTGAGTTGTCCAAGGAGATATAAGAGTGTGGTGGTAATGAAATTTAAATTGTTAATTAAAATCTGGGAATGAAAACTAATCTCAGTAACAGTGACCGTGAAATTAACTTTGTTCTAAAAACTATCTGGTTCACTAATGTGAGAGGAAACCTGCCATCCTTATCTGGTCCAACCTATGTGTGATTCCAGACCACAGCAATGTGTTTGCCGCTTAATTGTCCTGTGAAATGGCTTAATAAGCACTCGGTTCAAGGACAATTGAGGATGGGTAACACTGGCTTTGCCAGTAATGCCCATGCCCCATCAAAGAATTTTTAAAGTTTAATTGATTTGGTATATTGGCATTATAAGTTAATGAGATCTCTCTTAATTTGGAGTTTAGAGTTATGCAGCACAGGAACAGGCCATTTGGCTCAATTGATCCATGTTGATGTTCTGTTTCACATGATCCTCTTCTCACTCTCCTTCATCCCATCAACAAATACTCCTTTTTTATTCTTTCTCACGTTTAATCAGCTTCCCCTTACAAAATTTTCCTCGACTGCTCTAGGCCATGCTTGGGCTAGAATCAACAGTTTTGCAATTCCGTCACCATCTGTCAGTAAATACAGACTCTTCCATTTTCCAAATATTTGTTAACTCCATATAAAAATTGCTCTTACTTTGTTCGCCCAGTTATGTGCAGTTCAAACCCAATTCCAAGATAGTGCATTGTACAATTTGGCCCACTTCAACATTTACATTTGGGGCTATCAACTGTGTCTCGAATTGACGAGACGAAAATATCCATTGTGCTGGCTGAAGGGTGAAAATTAAAAGGGAAATAACAGACGAGGGAGCAGATTACATCAAGTTTCATACCATCATTTTGCTGTTCTCACCCTCCTTAACCATCCATTCCCTAACAAAACATACAATGAAACCAGTGCTAAACTTTGCATTCTCTGAAAGTTGCATCCAAGGCAGTTCCAATAGAGACTATATGATGGAACATGGTCATCTTTTCTTTCTAAAGGAATCAGGATCAGGGTCCAGCTGTTCTCCATCTGACATTTAAGGAACCTATTTTTTGGAATTAGTGTACTTTTCAGGAATGAAAGTTTGCCATAGACGTTGGAAACAGTTCCAAGCAACTTTCAACTTTTCAACAGTTAAGAAAGAGGTCTCTATCTGAATAGAGGGCACATTTATCCAAGATAATCGACCCACCCAGTGCTCTCCCAGTGAGTATTTAAAATAGCTGAACTCTGATGAACAGCAGGATTTAGCGGAAGCCAAGTTGAGTGTGTACAAAAGGGTCACTGTGAAACTTTGACTGCTGTTTTGGGTGGGGTTGATGCACAAGCTGGAAATGAATGAAAAACTAGCATTACTTGAGATAGTAGGAAACATGAATTTGTTATGAGATTGTTTCTTTATTGATACATAGGGGAAAAAATAGCAGAAGTTCAAGTTGTAACAATCCTATAAAATAACTGACCTACCAGTTTCCCCCGTAACTCATTCTCTCCTGGAATGTCAACAATGGATTTCACCACTGTTTACTCCCTCCTGCAAGGTTTTAAAAACCTAAGTTTAGCATCATTTAATCACCACTCTGATTCAGCTTTGATTTACTGTTTACACTGATGGACTTAGCGCATTGTATTGACTTTTCAAGTAAGCATTATTTTTTAAAAACTTGCTGCAATTAACATGACAGAGGATAGATAAACCTTGAATAAATCGAATTGGAGGGTAGATCTTCTGATAAATATAAGTGTTCATTTAAATTTAAGTTTTCAAAATAGGATAAGTGCATTTTCAGCGCTATTTATTGCAATTGTTGCACCCATACTTCATGTAGAGAATTTAACAGTTGTTGAACAAGTTTCTATAAACTGACATTTAATTATTAGTGAAGCAAAGTTGTTGCTGCTACAGCTATAATTAATGACCCATTATTATATTGTGCTATTTTATCACGCCCTCCTGATGTTACATAGTTTGTTGCTATGGCTGCAGGAAAAACAGAAAATAACATCCCTTCAGCTCTTTAAAGGAACATTTTATTATAGAAAGGGAATCGAAGGACTTTGTGATTAGATTTTCAGAACAAAAGCTAAAGGAACTCTGAGGTAAGAACACTAAATCCTCCCTAATTAACGTGATAAATATTAATATGTATGTATAATAGGAAAGTAGTATATGTACAGACTGAACAAATAGGCAGAATTCATTTGTCTAGAGTTACATATTACTGTCCTGAAAATTTAAAGATACTAAAATAGTTCATGTTATTTAATTTGTGATCTATTTGCGTTATTGTTGACCTCTTCTTTGAAAGAATTGTTGTATTACCTTTGTAACATGCATCTTCTACGTATTTGACTTGTGGCCATGTATAGCTTAAACATTCTTGGAGCTCCAGTCATTGTTTCTAGGGGCTCTTCATAATTATTTCACTGGAAGTTTTTTGTTAGAGCTTTTAATTAAGTTAGATGAAAGAGCTTGCATTATTCTGCATCATATCAGAACTTAGAATACATTTCATAATTAATGGCTTATATCTGTGCATCCCTTCACAAAACAGCCAAATAAAAATAATGAGGATCCATAAACAGCAAGTGATGTTCAGATCATTTGTTTTTGGTGTAGTTATTTGTTGAAGAAATGGTGCTCACATTGACAAAGACAGGACAGTCAGCTTTTAAAATTATCCAGCAGGATCTATTACTTCAAACTGAACAAAGAGTTCAAGAAGTCATCCAGAAGACTGTACCTCTAATAATGCAACATTTCCTGAGTACTAAGTTGAAGTGGCAGATGTACTCACATCTGTTTTACTATGTTAAAGATGCTATATAAATGCAAATTACTGTTGCACTGAATCTTGAATCCACAACCTCCCTGATATAGAAACAAAAGTGCAGCCAAGTTGATACAGATTGGAATATTGCATAGCTGAATAATAATAAGTAGTACATTCTTTTTTAGAAAAGTTTCCATGTCATTAAAAAAAAATTGTGATACACAATGGATTTGAAGAATTCACTTGAAAAGAAAGATTTGCATTTATGTCATGTCTGTCGTTACCATAGGACACCCCAAAGCACTTTACAACCAATGAAGTACTTTGTGATATCGGCTACGTGGCAGCCAATTTGTACGCAAGAAGTTCTTTCACACAACAATGTAATATGATCAGCAATTCTATTTATGTGTTGATGATTGAGGAATGATGAGGTTATTTGGGAATATTCCCCATGGTTTTCTTCAAAGTAGTGGCATGGGATCTTTTATGTCACCTGGGAGCCATCTGATAGTGCGGCACTCTGTCATTATTGCGGTGGAGTGTCAGTCTTGAATTTTGTGCCCTTAGATCCTGGAGTGGTTCTTGAACCTATAATCCTCAGAATCAAAGACAATGCGTTACCAACTTACTCATGAATGATACTTAAATGTCTTAATTGATAAGGTACATAAACATCAATATTGCTGGTGTGTCACTGCCACACTTGCTTATCCCACTAATTCAGGAGCACTTAGGAGCACCTTTGTTCAATTTGTTAATAGTTGACTTCTGCTACAGATCGGTGTTGATGGTGATTTGGAGGCATCTGATCTTGAGAAAGGTTAGCACTAAATATGAACAGAAATACATCAGCCAACATGCCCCAGGTTGGGCAACTCCAAATTGGTTCCGGTTTAATCTATATAAACACTTCAATAGCCACCTTCATGATCAGAGGAACTTGGTTGGCTAACTGCAAGAGAAGAACAGAATTTGCAAATCCCTAGGGGATGGATATTTATGTTAACCATGAGTAGCAGGATAAAATGATGATTTTTACATTGGTGAATTTCACATCAACCCCATTTGTAATCTTTTTCACCAGAATAATTTGGAGCCATAAATTCAAGGAAGAAGCAGCTAGTTGGGAATGGGGTGGTATTGTGGATTAACAGGGAAACTGTATATCTGGATTTTTGTTCAATATAATTTACGTTGCTGGTGAAAGACCAACTTCAGGTTGGTCCTACATTGTCCAGACTGTTAAAATATTTATTTATAGTACGAAATGGAAAAGGAATTGGTGAAATGGATCACTTACATCCCCTGGACCACTGTAAACATGACCAGGTTAGAGGATTCAAAATAAGGTCTGGGTTTCTGTCAGTTTTGAAATGCATAATTTCTTCCAATAAACATGTTTGCTGCTTTTATGTGTGATTCTTGCTATAAATTAGCATAACTGCTGCTACCTTCCTCCTCCTCTAACTCTTGAAAATTTTTGACGCCAGTCTAGTTGATAAGAAAATGAGGGGTAGGTTGTTGGCTGGGGATCAGGGAATCTAGTGTCTGAAGACCAATTATTTGTTTAGTATTTTCGACTTTACTTCCTGTTGAATGATGTCGCCATCGGCAATACAGAAAAGGTTTGATCTAATGGAGTTTGTGGCAAGTGGTTAAAATGAACCAGAGCATGCCATGTGGAATTACATAAAGATTACAATATAGAAAAAGAATAATAAGCACAATTGGTCTGTCCCTGTAATTATACTTTGCATTAGCCTCCTTTTACCCTGCTTCATCGAATCCTATCAGCATTATATTTTATTCCTCAATCCCTCCTGTACTTGCCCAATTTCCCCCGAATGCATCCATGTTACAGTTCTTGCCCAAAGTAGTTTGCCTTGCAGTGTCAGAATCGACAATTACCAAAGCTGCTGATTTTGCTGAAAACTCATCATCTTTGACATTTCAAGATGATTCTGAGTATTTTAAAGCAAGTTGACTAAACTAAGCATTACAAATGAATTACAAATAACTTCCCAAATCATAACCGTGACTACGCTTCAACAGTTTAGTTGGTGTGTGTTTCTGGATGATATGAGGTGACGTGTGAATGCATCGAGTGTTGTGCAGTGATCGTACTGCTTGTCACCTCTTGCTTTCAGCTCTCACTGCTGTTGAGAAAAAGGGAGCTGAGTGCATTAGTCTCTCCTGCTTGCACATAGGCTTGCTGATGAAGAAGCTATGTAGTGCTTCCCCATAGTGACCAACACAAAACTCAAGGATCCAGGCTAAACTACAAGGACCTCAAAGGAGCCTGGTCCCTGGGTGCATGGCACAGGCCAACCATCATTTGTTACACCTTGATGCCCACAAACCATATTCCAACTATGGGTAGTAGCTTCACTGCCTTGTGGGCATCTCCGGAAAGAGGAAGGCTAAGGGAGTTCAAGTCTGTCAGAAAATCCGAGTGGAGGCTTGTAGATGGTGCCATGTTGTATATCGGGTAGCTTTCCAGCAACTCTTACAGCAGAGCTGGAACCAAACAACGCTGTTTCATCCTTTCCTTGGGACAATACAAGCAACATTGAGAGGGGTGCCTCAATGTTTGGACAACTCAGGGTTACCTCATTATTTGCTCAGATCTGCATCCTGGAGAGGACATTACAGTTCCATTGCCAGCAGTGTTGTTATCGCTGCACTGGCTGTGATAGTGACCACCTGCTGTGCAGCAAGGTCAGGGATCAGAGGAGGGAGCAATATCACTCCAAGCAGGAAGGTTGAACTATGATCAGAACCTACCATTCCACAGTTAATCAAAATCCTCAAAGAGGCATTCTCTTTCAGACAATGCTACAAATCAGAGGGTGAGGTCAATGAGCTACACCACTTATAATTCTGCATAACTTGCTGCATCTGGGGAAAGAGATCTGGGCAATGCTGTTGGGGTTTGCAGCTTATTGGTGACAGAGCCTGTTTCTGCAATGAAGTGGAGAGCCCTCATGAACTACCAGCAGGTCCCCAGCAAATATCATCTAGATGCTCCCAGAACTGCCAGAATCAAGTCTGAGCAGACTGCTTGGTACCATGGCAAGCAATACTGGTTGAAACTGTGCAACAGCACCCAAGTATACAATCTGTCTTAAACCCTGCCCTCTAGTTGCTGAATTCAGGGGTTCGAGAGTCATGTATGAAGGAATTTAAAAAGCAACAGGACCAGCATCAGCCAATTCGCCTCCCCTACAGATAAAGTCAGGGATGCAAACCGAACAAGCAGATGGAAAGGCAGGGGAGCATAACCTCAGTGCAACAGAAAACATTGTCACTGAAGAAGTGCTCAGTGCCGTTCCAGAATTTCCTGTCAAGGAGGACCTGGATGGTGAGCCTTCTCCCATAAAGCTCAACAAGACCATTGAGCATCTTCCCAGCAGTCCCAGAAGAAGATGGCATTCCATCTGGAATCAGCAAAAATGGAAAATCAGCACTGCTGCTCTGTAAACGTATGTTTCTGCTGGAGGAAGGGATTTATGTCTCAAGACATTCCAGAAGGAAACTCTAGAAAAACTGGGCAAATGGAACACACTGGTCCAACTCATTTTGTATACTTTAAAGTGGAGGACCAGTGCATTTGTTTCCAGGCATTGCTGTTTTTGTTTAACTGGTTTCTTCCTCAGTGTTGTGAGGTGCAAAATTAGTCACCTTGTTCAAGAATGATAGGGATCCTCAGTGACTGTAACAATTAGTGAGAGAACTCTGTCGAGTATTATCAGAAGGTGTTCATTCTCATTGCTCTAACCATATTGTAGATCCTGGCATCATGAATGACCCTGAGTCTCAGTGTAGCTTCAGAACTGGCAGCTTGACAGTTGACATGATCTTCTCATTTCAGCATTTAGAGGGGAAGTGTTGTCTGCACTGTTCACAATGTCACCATCATAGACCTCAACAAGGTCTTCAATCTTGCAGTGGAGATGGACACATTAAACTGATATGGGGAAATAGTTTACCCACATGGTCGCCTGGACATCTCCCACCCATGAGAGAACACACAGTTACAATGGAGTCTTATCAGAGGCTTTTGAGATCAGTCGTAGGGTAAAGCAGGGCTGCATCATGATGTTAACTTTCTTCAGGCTATTTTCCTCTGTGTTGCTTGTGTATACTTCAGGTGTGTTAAATGAGGACGTCTACAAGTCAGCGCTGACTTAGCAAGACTGAGCGCCAAAACCAAAGTGTGTAATGTCCAAGTCCATGAGTTGCTGTTTGTGGATGACATTATGCTAGCATCTAACACTGAAGTTCACTTGCAACAGCTTTTAGAGTCATAGAATCCCTACAGTGTGGAAACAGGCCATTCAGCCCAACAAGTCCACACTGATACTCCAAACAGCACCCCACCCAGATTCATCCCCCCCCCCCTAATCTATCCCTGTAACTTTGCATTTCCCATTGTTAAGCCATCTAACCTACACATCCCTGGACACTTATGGGCAATTTAGCATGGCCAATCCACCTAACCTGTACATCTTTGGACTGTGGGAGGAAACCCACACAGACAAGGGGAGAATGTGCATACTCCACACAGACAGTCGTCTAAGGCTGGAATTGAATCCAGGTCCCTGGCACTGTTAGGCAGCCGTGCTAACCACTGAGCCACCATACCGCTTTTAGATAGGTTCTCCCAGGCCAGCGAGGAACATGGACTGACTGTAAACATTTGAATGACCAAAGTTATGATTTAAAATGTAAAGACTCCCATTTCCATCAACATTAACAACCTTATTCTTGAGATTATCGACAGCTTCACGTATTTTGGATCAATCATCACCAACAGTCATGAGGTTTGGGTTCAAATCCCAATCTAGATCTTGAGTACAAAAATAATCAAGGCTGATGCCCTGGTCTGGTGCTGAGGGACTGTTGCAGTCATAAATGCTGTCTATATCCAAGAGATTTTAAACCATGGTTCCATGCCTGAGTGGATGTTAATGATCCCATAGGACCACTTTTAGGAACAATAGGGGCGTTATCGCTTGTGTCCTCACTAATATCCCTCTATCGCATGAACAAAATAACTGCTCATTTTCACATTGTTGTGATAGTGTAGTTTGCTGTGTCCATATTGGCTGCTGCATGTCCTACATTATAACAATAACACACTTCGAAAAGTATTTCATTGGTCACAAAATGTCATGAAAGAATTAACACTGTAACTTCTGTCGTCTTTGTCAATGATTACAAATGAGATTAAAACAAATACATTCCTATTGCAGGAATTTTCTTTGGATTTCTGGTTGCATTGAGCATAAATACATCGTAAAATACTGCAGATGTTTGAAACCTGAGGTATAAAGAAAAATGCTGTACTCAGCACAGCAAACAGAATCTGCAGAAAGGAATAGGCTTAATGTTTTAGTTCATTGATTAAAGGATGTATTTACAATCTGATTAGATAGAGCGCATAGAGGGAATGTTCTCCCACGTGCTCAACTGAAATGTCTTCTATATTACTTAGGTTAAAGATGTGAATTTTCATTGTTCCCTAATACTGCCAGCTCACAGCTAATTGTGCAAATAGATACACATCAGAGAAAATTTACAAATAAGTTGTTCATATTTGGGGTAGATCCTGAATAAGCCTAAGATTTGATTTGTACTGGAGTATGAGAATCTTTATCTTTACTTTTTTAATTATTCAGCTATCATCTGAGAGATGGCAGAAGGAGGCTCTGTTAACATGGAAGCTCTGCAGGAGTCATTTAAAAAGTTTGCAGCATATGGTGACACCAAAGCAACTGGTAACGAAATGACTGGGAAAAATTGGGCCAAACTGTGCAAAGACTGTAAAATCATTGATGGCAAAGCAATCACCTCAACTGATGTGGACATTGTCTTTTCAAAAGTGAAGTAGGTACCAGATTTTTTTTAAACATAGAAATATTGCAGATTCTGTAAAGAATAAATTGCCGTCAAGTCATTAAATGAGGTGGGAAGTAAAGATAGATTTCGTGATTGAAATAGTCAACTTTTGGACTATGGTAACAAACTCTTTTTAGAATTTTGAAATTTATAATTTTGAAACCTAATTTTATTTAGTTCAAACAAATGGATTCCAGTTCCATCAGAAATGTTGCTGTGCCTATCATCAGCTTTTGAGAGTCCAAGTGAATTGGTTTGAACTTTCTTAATCCAACATTCATCCAGTACCGCCCCCCATCCCAAAAAATCTGCTCACTGTTCAACAACTACCAAGCTACGTCAGTCACATTATGCATCATGAATGCTGCACAGACTAAGTGACACATTCAAAAGCCATCTTTACCCCATCTACATTTAGCCAAAAGGCATTTACTGTCAATGAATACATCCTGGCTAAGTACAGCTTCCCTGACCATTACTTGATGAATGATCTGTTTATTAATTTGTCTTCATCTTTGAAGTGATGACTGATATATGCATTTCAATGCTTCTTACTTTTTTTGTTCAGATTTGCAATATGTACAACTTTTCTATCTTCACATTAGCAGAAGCTTATTTTTATTATTCCAAAAATATACTTTATTCACTAAATTTACAGACATTGTTCTAAAACATTTCAAATCTACTATTAGAGCATACAATAAATTACAACTTGATATTTACATTATACATTCCTTCTTAAGCATACAGCCCATACTTACAAAACAAACTCCATGAAATACTTCTCCTTGAGGAGTTGAAATAATCCATTCCCCCTCCCAATTAGAATACACATTGAGAAACAGGGAATGACTGGATCCAGCAGGTCACCACACTGGCTGATGTACAAACCCCTGTTCCTCCCATCAATCCCAACCAATGGGGGTGAGTGAGGGGAAATTGAGCACCAATGGGAGGCAGGGAATTACTGAGAGCCCTCCTCAGAGCAGAAAAGGTGGTGCTGAGATGAAGTCAAGAAACCTGCATTTCAAGTGCTGAAAGGGATTGTCTGGGTCAACTACTGGAGTCTACAGGATAAAACAGTGGGATTAATTGGGATACATGCATGTGTGCTGAGAGTCAGAGAGCGTATCAGACCAGGCTGAGGATCTGACTGTATCTGTGAATCCCTGTAAAGATATTCCTGAGTGAGTGTGTTAAACAAATCTCTGAGAGTTACTAGGATTTAGTATTGAAAGGAATGGTGGCCATATTTCCCAGGTGAGGAGAGCAAGCCTATCATGATACTGAGGGATGCCAGAACCAGCCAAACTGTGCTGCTGGAAAAGGTATGCCCTTCCCATGAGACAGTACAGAAAGTACTTCAGCAGCATCATTGCCAGATGCTTGGAAGCAAGAAAGGTTAACGCAGTGACCAGAGTCTACTCCTACATGATACCCTGACTGAAAAATTTCATAGATAGCATAGGTAAAGCCAGCTACATTACCAAGGGGCCCTGAGATTTACTACAGGAGTACTGGCAATTTCCCTTGACTTCCCACAGCATGGAAATCTCTGCCTTTGTAACTCCTAATGGTTATACCAGTGTCGAGTATGCCATTTAGACTCTCAAATGTATGGGTTCTGATAGATGTAACATCTAAAGATGTCAAATAAACTTCAAACAGATTAGACCACAATAACAAGGAGTAATGCACCCCTACTCAATGGCTCCCCCTCACACCGTGGATTATATCTCAAACTACAGAGATACTTTCTGTTTTTCCCTTTGAAAGACATGAATGGCAGGGATTAAAAAGTCAGTTTCAGCTGGACTAGAGTGTGCTCCTGGAACTGAATGTTCTCATGCATGTCAGCTTGGGTTCAAACGTTAGAATAAAGTGAAGGTCATAGTGGAAGAACTATCCTCTAGTCACCCCTGTGTTGCATTTAAAGATAACCCCTCACTTCAAGTAGTACAAGTTACCAAGCTAGCAGCTAGGGAGAAAGGAAACAGGACAACAAAAGGACTCTCTCTCACCCTGAATGATTGCTTTCAACTTTGCATTCTATCAGAACGACAGAACCTCAACCAGTGTGCAAAATTATAATATTCAGCTATCTGCTCTTTACAAACAATACCGAGGCTAATCTTTCTTTTTACGATTTTGGGCTCACCTTTTATTTCTAATCTGTGTGTGCATATGTTGTGTTACTATTTCTTCATGCGAGTAGTAATTAATAGACTTCTCTTTTTGTTAATTCAATAAAGCCTGGTTAAATTGGCTTCTTTTAAAGTGGAAGTTCATGAGTTCTTATGCAAAGGCAGCCACAAGGGAAGCGGATCCTTTTCAAATCAGCCCACCAAGGTGGTGATTGAATAAAGAAGGGGAGCTGGTTTATCCCTCTTCACCTGCAAGCTTAGCAGTTTGGGGTATCCCATTGGAAACCTCACCCAGATCTGGTTGTAACAATGTGCAAGCATTTCTAAGTTTGAGATAACAAGTGCTTTAAGTGAAGGACGTGACGCTGAAAAGAAATGCTAATAAGTTCTTAATTAGTTAAGTTTCGTGAAAATGTGAGAGAACCTAGATCGAGAAGTTAAACACAGCGACATTCCTTATATTTTATCCCTGTAATTACTTAGCAAAAATTTAAATGATTTTTTCTGTAACAAATTTGTAACCATTGTACAGCATCAGAATTCACATTAACAATTGCTCTATCTAAACTGATGTATTTTAATTACGTTTGTGTCCAGAGCTAAGACAGCTCGAGTAATTACATTTGAAGAGTTTAAAAATGCATTGGCAGAGCTCGCTCCAAAAAGATTCAAAGGCAGAAGTAAAGAGGAAGCAATTGAGGCAGCCTACAAACTGATTGCTGGAAAAGACCCAACAAATGTTGGAGTAACGGTGAGTTAATCAGCTGTGAGGATGAGATAATCACATGACTATAGAGCTTTCTCATACCGTAAAATAACAGACACAGGGCATTGTTCCTGAGGGTTGGGAGTGTATTGAGGTGCAAAAAGTATATAGTAGGAAAAAGTGAATTGATCTATAGGGTAAAGAGGAATCTACAGACATGCAGTCTTGTTCTACCTTTAGTAACTTATAGGTGTGATCCTTGAATCTTTACGACCTATTTAATTGAAATAATTGATGAGAACATAGTTCTAACCCTTTTCATTATTTGCAGCGCCTGAATCAAATCACACGAGAGTTTGCACTTGTCTAGAGTACACTGCACTGCAACAACTTAAATAACTGAAACCCTCATTTGCTGCATGATGTGCAGGTTATTCAATAAAGTAACGATGGGTAATAATACCTACCAAAATCACCATTAGTAGAGCATGCTACAGGAAATCACACATTCCCTCAGCCTGTTATTGTTACTGCATCGTGCATTTATGGTTTATTTTGTAATTACTGAAGGTGAATTTGTTCTGAAAACATATGAAGAATGTCTATTTTATATTTCAAGGAAAAATTCACTCAAATCCCCAAACTGTATTGGAATTCCTGCACTTCAAAACCAGAATTCCTGCACCTCAAAACCGGGCATGTATTAATTAATGGAGATTTTAATCCAAATCTTACTGAAAAAGTAATGGCGAGCTCTCAGCTTTTCATATTTTTAGAAAAATGTTATTTTCCTTTCTATCCTTTCGTCTTTCCTGTAATTCAATCTTTCCTTCAGTCTGTACTGATGTGACATTGAATTCACCACCTTGTCTGCTGTTCTGTTCCTTTGTTTCCTTTTGTCCCATGTTCACTATGGTACCTGAAACTCTCGTTGCTCCCACAGTTCACACTTCAAGCAAGCGGCAGAGGAAATGTCTTTTATGAGATGATTGCTCACTTCAAAATGATTTAATACAAAGTTCAGGTTCATTCTTAGAAAGCTGCCAGTATGACGTGCCTCTGTAACAGGTTATTTTTTCACTGTGATAACAAGGTGTAGAGCTGGATGAACACAGCAGGCGAAGCAGCATCATAGGAGCAGGAAGGCTGACGTTTCGGGCCTAGACCCTT